AGTAGTAAGTAGCAAGTAGCAAGTAGTAAGTAGCAAGTAGTAAGTAGTAAGTAGCAAGTAGTAAGTAGTGGGTAGTGGGTAGTGGGTAGTAAGTAGCAAGTAGTAAATAGTGGGTAGTGGGTAGTGGGTAGTAGTAGTAGGAGGAGGAGGAGGAGCAGGAGCAGGAGCAGGAGGAGGAGTAGTAGGAGTAGTAGGATTGGCACGGTTGTGAAGAACCACGTCCGGACTATGGTGCCAATTCCTCACTGTTCATTTTTCAGCGATGCGACCAACGAAGAGAGGCTGTAAGACCTGAAAAAGGACCCTACCGCCTGCTGGGGTACCTATGAGAGTACCTATGGGATAGATACGGGGGGGGGTGAATTTCCACTATTCACCGGAATTCCTACCCCTAAATTTCAATAGTCTATGGAGTGGAATTAAAGCTTCTTTCAACACCAAACACACACAGTCAGACAAACACATCTCTTTAATCATAATCGTGGATGTTGTCACCTGGTCTCTCCTGCCTAGTCGCACTGTTTCCTGCCTAGTCTTACTGAGGCTGAAGAGCGCCTTTGTTGGATCCATCTGTTCCCCCATCCTTCCCCATCCCAAAAATCCCTCGTCAGGTACGATCCGTGGAGTCTGGTCCGGCCTCGGGGCGAGGAGGCGGTTGCGGTAGAGAGGAGGGAGACGGAGGGGACGATGCTTAGAGTTTAGGAGTCTGGTCACTAGGAGTCTTGTAGTCCATTGAGGTGAGATCGCCATAGATCGCGGAGTGAACAACCTATGTCTCAGAGAGGAGTGAGAGTAAGATGAGTGTGAGAACCGTTGTGTCACATTTTTCTGGTTGCGTTGAGTGAGGATACCTCGGATATCGTTTTTTTTGGAAAGTGGTACTGGTATGAAGACTGGTGCCCAGTTTGCGATGGCACTAGTCAGCACGCCAACTTGTTGTTGTGCCTCTTCGCCAATTAGTGAGATTAATTTGCACGACGCTGCAGCTGGGAGATGCCTTAAAAGCGCCTGACCGCTCATGTCTAGGAGCAAAGCTTGGTGGCAATCTTGCAAGCAGGGTAATTATATATGTGCATATATATATAATTATACAAGTATATATATATATGTATATATATATGATTCTATGATTATGTAAGTTGATTCTCCAGCCGGACAAGGACATGAAACTATTTTGATCCTTCAGTGATTTGAGTATACGTTTGTCGCTTTACGGATGAATCACACCTTGCTGAACAAAGACTAAACAAGCTATAGGCGATCGTTGCTATCTACAAACTGATAAAACAACTAGTCAGGCAATGAGAAACTGCTAATCACTGCTACACCAGTGTGTTCCTTCGCATCAGTGTTTTCTCCCCAGTGTTCACTCATGTTCGAAGCCCTACCCTTCTATTCACAGTAATTGAAGTCATTCACTGAGTCATTAGTCATTCACCAATTCCCTTGCCAATTCCAATCCAATCCTTTCAATCTCCTCGCTCGCCAGGTGCGAGGCCGCCATCTTCGCGGCTTGGGTGTCACACCGCAGATGCTGCGCTATGCTCCTGGTCAAAATCCGCATGGTGAGGAGAGGGCTAGGATTGGCTTCACATCCAAACAAGTACAATGGCTGTAGGGTTGATATAGGGTGGCCCAAGTATGGGAACATAGGAGAACATAGCTCCTTCGGGGCTGGTGAAGCCCATGGGCTTGGCACATTATATTGCAGTTTCTTGCTCTTTTTGGGCGTGGAAAGCCGAATGATGTGCGTTCCGGACATGAACGTGTACCTGCAGGACTTAACTGCGTTGCTCTCACAGGGACTGCTTGGAATGCCGGGGGCCCAAGTCAAGTGATTGAGTGGCCTGTGCAAGGACAGCACATGATAAGTGCAGATACATGTGTGTGTGTGTGCATGCATGATTGCCCGTTTTTGCCTTTTCTTTGTAATGATAGGAGGACAGCACGACCGGGTTATTGGAAGCTGGTACTAGGTCCTACCACTGGTGGCACTTGATCAAGCTCTTGCCCCCAGAGCTTCATATATGGGCAGTGTTTGCGTTGATAGTATTGATACCTGGAAGATGTTTCTCGTGTGCCAGGGTGTGACTGCTTGCCCAGGTAGCAGTACAGTCAGCAAGAGTCCTCAGATGCCGACCTGAGTGGCTGCAGTTCTTCAGAACGCACGGAGTTCCTGCTTGAGGACGACGTGACGAGCTTGCAGAAATGGTCACCCATGTTTTGCAGAATGTGATGGATGTGAAAGAAAACTTGGCGGATCCAGCTTCTTTTGGGTTTCTGACATGTCCACTGCTTGAGCGCTTGCTCAAGCAAGCGTTCGTGCCCTGCAGTTGTTACATGCAGATAAAAATGCTCGAGATTGACAGACACTATGCACAAACGGTCCAGGCTAGGTCTTGTTCTTCAGTTGAACAGCTACAAATGACTCCAAGTGACTTGAAGACAGTGACTTCAAGGCCAAGAGTAATGTAGCCGCCACGTTTCAACACCTGTGAATGGCACCGGAAGAGGAACAGTTCCAGCATGTGATGGGCCGTCCCCATGTGATGGGCCCCTGCATATCTTGCCACGCGACAGACAGGCAAGACATGGAACATCAAACATCAATATGTCAAGACATGGACAAACCACGGTTCTCTTCACCGTCTTCGACTTGGAACGCCTCCCACCGGCTTTGGCTCAGATTAGACGGCCGGGGCACGTGAAACCAACAAGGGGTGACGCCGTACGTCGTCACGGCGTCGAGGCGGGGGTCGATGTGGCACCAGGAGAACGAAATGGTGTTTGTTCCTTTTTCATGTTAGACCTCTTGATTCAGAACCTCCCCTGGCCTATCCAAAAACGTTGTTTTAATCCATGTCTCTGGGAAGATGTTGACAACCATCCTGGTCTTCAGACTCGTAGCGTGGACAGACGTGGCGTGGTCAGACGTGGAGACTAAGGCTCAACCGGTGCTTCACGACCCATCCGACCCATCCCTTGAGCCGTTCTTCGCGCGCGCGCGGCTTGAAACGAACCATCCACCCTCGCCCCTTCGGCCGTTCGGGTCGGTCGCACCGGTCGCGCCGGTGGGTCGGTCCGAGGCCCATGCCTCGGAATGCGCGGGATGGATTCGACTTTAGCTTTATGAGCAACAAGGACGATAGTTGCAGCCTCGGAGAACTGCTTTGGAAGGACGATAGAGCCTCAGACAGTGGGTAGGTCCATGGCCGGAAGAACACCCAATCGCTATGTAATGTAGACATACTCTTGAACTCTTGATGATATTTCAATCAACATGTTAAATTTCCCAGTTAGATGGTAAATATCGATTTTGAAAAAAACACATCTTCGAAATCTTAGAAACATATTGGGAACCTTAATTCATCAACGGATTTATATAGTGAATTCATCTCCCTTGCCGACTTGCTTCGTTCAAGACTTTTCAGCCTCCCCGGTCCGAGGTCTAGGCTTCATAGCAGAGGAGGAGCCAACGTGGAGCAGCCAACACCGTTGTTTACACAGCTGGAGTTGGCTTTGTTGTGTGCAAGTAGCTTCAGTTTTGGTGGAAGTAGCAAGAACGCAAGACCAGATGCGGTTGTTGTCAATATATTTACAACAACACTAGACTTTAGACGCTGAGTCTATATCGCTAAAGACAGGTTGTATTCTGATGTATTCTACCCTTTGCATACCATTATATCCCATTGCTATATTACTATATAGTATATTGATGTAACTTGTATTTACTCATAATATACATAATATACAAGATGATTATATATGCATTCATTCTCTCCAGTTTGTGAGCTCTGGGCTGTACCAACTTAGTTTTCTGGTTTGTACAGTAACTAATATATTTTTTTGTATATACACATAACTATTGTATATATATATATACATATATTTCCCCGTGTACCACGTGACTCGTTACATGAAAAGAATGGACTGAGAGGTTGGACAAGCATGTTTGACATTGTTCGACCACCATCATCGAGTGGTCAATTCCGAAAATGCAACTTCAAAGCCAAGTTTTGAATAGATGTTCTTGCTCTTCAATTCAGCAACTCAGAATCCAAATAATTAGAGTCGAGATACGGCACAATCATTGCACACTCATTTTAAGGACCATTCGAAAGCCTGTACCTGCTTTGTCTCCACTATGCCACCGTTTTGGGTTGTGTGAGGACCGAGTGAATTGTCCATTCTACCTCAAAATTGGTGCTTGCAGAAATGGCGACCGCTGCAATAGGGCCTGACTCTGAGTCACAACACTCGACCAACCAAGTCGTGGATGGCCAAGTGCCTCAAGTGATTCCAAAGTTGCTCGATACCCAAATCAGTTTACTCCTTGTTCCTGGATGATCATCAATAATTCAGAGCAATTAGGTTAACGAATTCTAAAGAGAAAGACAGCAAGGAACAATATGGCTGCAAGATGCTGTACGTGCAGCTGAGGCGCATGTGAAGCCATCCAGTGGTCACACCATTCTCATTCCGCACATGTCCTTGGCCTCAGTCGTGGCATTGGCCACTTTGGGATCACAAGACACTCCATGTATGGTATATTTACGTACATTAAGGGTGGTTTGAGGGGTCAATGTAGGCATATAGGACAGACATCGGTCGTGTTTGGCTTTGGTGTTTGATGCATGCAGCTGTTGGCCTAGGTACCCTTGCATCCCAGAAGCCATGGCTGTGGCCAATGACGATGAATGGGATGATGAGACCTATGCTCGCCAGCAGGAGAACTGGTCCGCAAGCAGCCTGAAAGACTTTAAGTGCAGTGAACTAGACCTAGACATGTCTGCAATGTCCGCACTCAATACCTGGCCGTGTTTGAAGAATGGCTGCCTTCGCCCCTGAAACCTGGGAAGTGGAAAGGGTGACTATATTGATGATAGAAATCCAGCTGGTATTTTGGCCTTGACTTTGGAGTGCCATGGCATCCTCACAACTGTCCGGAACTGCAATTTGAGACCGCCGGCTTCGGCAAACGGCACGTGAGGAGCATTTGGAAACCTTCTACGAAGAAGTCTTTCTGGAGCTAGCCAAGTTTGGCGAGGCCCAAGACTCCCATAGGAGAGATCCATCACCTGCCTCATTTTTGACATGTCCAGTGACGCCGAAGAGAATCGATTCGTCGAATTCATGCTTTCCTGCCGACAGTCGTCCGACGGTTGGGAGACTTGTTTGCAAGAACACACACTCGGAGCATGGTGGGCTTCTCTGGCTCAAGCGGCTCATGCGGCTCAAGCAAGCGAATGCTCCACGTGGTTTTGGTAGTGACTTCAATGTTTTCCTGAAGGGATACTTGGCAAGTCATTGGGTCACTCCGCAACTGCCAGTTGCAACAATGCTACATCGCAAGCAACTTGGAGACACAATGCTACTATATATGCTATTACAGGGTTCGCAAGATTTGTTAAGAAGAGTGTGCTATAGGGAAGTCCAACACCCACTGCGTCACGAGGGTGAGCGCAGCTAGTAGCAGCCACGGACTTCCATCGATAAACAAGTGGGTTTTACACATTAATCATGGGTACAGATGGCACCCACCGGGGACAGCTTTGCGCATGGCCCGGGATCTTAAGACGTACACGCCCATGGGGTGGACCTGTGGTGAACTTCGGCCATCAGAGGCGGAAGGTGTGAAGAGACGTTCAAATCCTGCTTCACAACCCTTGACCATCTGGACCCTCCATGAAACTGACGCATATCTTACATTGACCACTTTTTCCAAGCAGACAACCAGATCGATAAGCCCGTCCCCAGGGTCGTCTCAGGTCGTCTGTTTAGCCGTCACTTCCGGAGCCTTCCCACCAGAAGCCGGAGCCCATCGCCCGAGGCTTCGGAAGAAGAAGAGTGGCACCTCGGCGTTTCGGATGCGCGAGCCCGGGACTCCCAGTTCCTCCGAGTGGCGCGTGGGCGAGGAATGGACGCGACGTTCGGACCGCGAGCGACTCGGGCGGAGCATTTTCGGGGCAGCGCGACTCGAACGGAGCGATGGGACGCTACGAACGGGGCTCCTGGCCGTACTACTAGGAGCAAGAAGCTATGTTCGGAGCAAGGGGCATCGCTACTATAGGAGCAAGTTCTGCTGTCCAGTTGTGCGATGTCTCCCGCTTTTTGGATGGCCCAGAGAAGCATCGCCAGACGTTGAAGTCAGTGACTTCTTTTTTGGTATTATTGTCATGTATTTTTGTTCGTCAGGAGTGGCAGTGAATATTCAGCTTGCAAATGCTTGCCATTTTAGACACTGAGGTACAACAAGAGGTACTTCACCTTGGATTTTGATACTCACACCTTCTTCTACACGCACTCTGAGGGGAGCAAGAAGGCGTTTCGGTCACTCATCTATCGGTCCTCCAGGCCCACGTGAAAATAAACTATAGAAGGCTCATTCAGGAGCCATCATCCTAGAGCATCCTAGAACCCATGTTCTTCATATTTCTTCCCTGTCATCGGAGGATCCTGGAATTTGTTGGGGGCGGGGTCTTGTTCATGGGTGGTCGGAAAACTCCATGAGCATTCCATTCTAAGATATGGGCTAGAAGAGCTGAGGGTGTTCCAGTTTTCTGGCCTCATGACGTGGATGTGTCAACTAGGGAGATCCTCTCAAGGGCAACGCCCCCCGCTGCGGAAGGCGACGAAACGACCAGTCTGTCCAATCAAAAAGCTTTCGGGTGTCTCCCTATTGAAATACACCACCCTTTGCCACCCTTGCCACCGGCAGCTTTTCGGATCGCGGACTGGGCTGGCTCGCCGACTTGGCTCGCTGCTCGGCCCGTCGCCGACTGGGCAGGTGTCTTCGGTGACCCCCTTTGCAGACATCGTGGACGTGCGGCTGCCGGAGGTGATTCGTCCGGCCGGATGGTCCGGTGATGGTACTGGTGGATCTTCCCTTAAGAATGGTACCGATGTGGAGGTTTTTTTATACGTTTTATGACATGCTTTGTGACCCATCGCCTAAGTGGTGTAGAGCTTTGGTGTCCTATATGGTGTCCTGCTTGTGCTAATCACCTCAGAATCACACTTGCTCAGTTGCTCCCAAGTAACTTTTTTTCAGTGTACTATCACTGAGCAGCCTATCTAGAATCACTAGATGTTCTTAGATGTATCGAGCCAGATGTGTTGTGGTTACTCAGCTTGTGTATCTTCGATCCTGGTGATCCTGCCCGCTTGGGCCACCAACCACAACCTCCCCCACTCACACCCTAGACTTGGTCCTTGCAGGCTGACAAGCTGGCTGACAAAGGAGACAACATCTCGGAGGTCAGCAAGACCAGCAAGCGCACGGGACCTTAGATGGTCATGTTTGTGGACAGCATCCGGACACCATTGGACAACCGTTCATAGGATCTACAGTGTAATTTCTTGTAAACACAGGCTATTAATGTTTTTTCTCCATCTCAGCTAATACATGCTTTCTTCCTTCAACAGTGAATGCTTCCACTCTTGCACTTCGAGAAGACTCTTGCGATTGCTGCGTTGTGAAAACCTGAGGAAATCGACTTGTATACGGACTCATTCATAGATGGCTTCCAAAAAGAAGCAACCGGGTAACCGTTTTTTTCCGCTGGTTTTCCTTTGTGGTTCAAGCACCCTGTGACACGTGACTGGCGGACTCCACAGGTTCTTCGTTCTTCCGGCGGCCAAGCGGCTTTCTCACTGCATCGAAAGAGACAGAGGAGGGACGAGTAGTTCTAAGCTGCCCACACATTCGTAGAGGCCACACATTGCTCTGAGCACCGCCGAGATGTTGTCTCGTTCGCTTGGTCCTTTATTGGAAGATGATGATGATAGAAGCTGCCAGGAGCATTTGCTGATGGTCATGACTCGGCCTGCCAAAACCTTTGAGCTTTTGCCGCTCGGAGAAGAGATTGGAGCGAGTTTGTCGGAAGTTGTTCCTTTCGCAGATGGAGTTGTTTCATTATGTGTCTTCTTTTCTAGCCCGCTCGGCCCTGCCTCCTTCCTTACTTAATCAAGTATACGCTCCCTACTTATATTAATATATAATTCATTGAGTAAGGAGGTAAGCTACTAGGAGAAGTTTGCTCCTAGCTAGGATGCAGGATATCTCACGCACATTCACGCACTAACGATTTGGTTCCATTTGATTCCCAGATTTTTAGGGAAACGACCCCTCAGTTGGACCCCCCCGGAAAAGGGGCAATAATATGCAATAATTTCAATGGCCCTGAGCCAGAGGGTCTCCCTACTTTTTCCACACACCCAGTGTTGCCATCGCTGAGCCATCGCTCAGCAGCTTTAGTGAAACCGGGCTGTGCTCTTGAGATCTCTTGAGGTGTTCTTCAGCCACGGAGGCTGTGACTTGGTTTGAGGCGATGGAATGCGGCAGTGATATCTTGCAAAGTCGACCTGTTTGCTCGCGCCTAAATCGTGTGAGGCTGTTTGTGGACTTTCAAAGATTGCCGCACTTCTCTTGGCTCTTCCTGGAAGCACGAAGACCCACTTCTCCAGGCCTTGAAGCAGGCCATCGCGCTGGACCGCGGCACCGACGTGGAACACACCACAGCGGCCACCTCGGAGGAAGAGAAGCCCAAAGGAGGCGGGAGCCATGCGGAGTGACCGGCGGCCACCCTCCGGGGGGTCTCACCGGGTCGGTCAGTGGATGTGGAAGTTAGGACGGGTCGCGGTGGAGGTCGTTGAGGTGGGACCGGGGGGCATGCGGATGGGTTGGGAGACTAGGAGTTGTGGCTTCTTTTTCTCGGAAAGAGCTTGGGCTTGCCCATCGGATGGCCTTACGTTGCACATCTCATGCTTTCCTCCGGTCTTGCAAGAAGAGGCCGGAGGGGTCATTTCAGGTCGAAAGGTCTCTTTGACGTCTCGAAGCCTGATCTGTTTTGTTCAAACCAAGAGGTTAAGTCGACCTGCAAAAGGACTCGTCAGGAGCCATCAGCTGGGGTACCTCTTATCCTGGGCCATTTATGGGATACATGATAGTACTCGAGTATAGATGTCTTACTATAGGCCTATAGGGTTCTTCAACCTCTGGAATTTCCCTTCTGAGTCCAACAAGTTCCACCTCATCGATGTCTGGGAAGGCCGGAGCCATCGGAAGACCGGTCGGGCCCGGACATCGATATCGGCTTTGCCTGCGCCAGGCGTGAGCGGCGGCTATCCGGGGAGACCCGGCGCAGGCGATGCTTTGCTCGCTCTCGGTGAATCGTGGTGACATGGATGGTGTGCCTGCGACTACCTGACTACCATCCCTATGACCCTCCAAACAAGGAAAGAAGTGGATGGCCACCATCCTGCTTGGTCTTTGGATTTCGTCATCCTTTCGGAGCACCATCCACGTTGGCCCATGATGATTCCAGGGAGTCTAGGATGAGGAATGCTAGACCCCATATGATGGGCAGGGGCTCCAAGCGGTAGCAGGCCGCAGCAATAATTGGTCCTTATGTGTTATACCAGTTTGAGCATACATGCCGTTGAACATGGTTGGCGTGTCAGCATGTTCAGAAGCCATTCACAAGACTTGCCCGCAGCTCCTTTCTCGTGCCTGCTGCCATAAGACGGGCTACTAAGACTGACGGCCTCAGCATATCGAGTCTTCGTATTTGCATTTAACAAGAGCCCGAACAACATTAACATTGCTCACATTAACAACACGTTGGTGCATGAAGGTCCACATCTAGCTCATTCTTGCATATGTTGAACCCACCACGGACCACAGGGTGTCACAACCTAGTTTTGTTTAGAGATTTGTGCGCTCATGCCACGACGCGGGGACTCCCATGCCGTTTGCAGCCTCGCGCATCAAGACATCCGGGAAGAAATCGAAGAAAGGCAGGGGCCCAAACCGTTTTTCTTTTTCTCAAGCGAGTCATGTCGTTGCGTCGTATGGTCTTAGAGTCTTATCATGTCTTCTTCTCACTGCTCGATTGAGGCAGATAACGACATGGAATAGTAATGTTGTAAGGCTTTACGTTGCTTCCACCGTGCATGAGGGTAGCACAAGTCATGGGCGTTTCAACAACGGATGAACTCGTGGATTCATAGATGAGTTTTTTTTTTTTCGAGAAAAGGGATGGTTGATATGGGTGTTTATGTTAGTAGAGAGATCCTCAACCCATGGGTTTTAGTCACATGTTCCTTCTTTCACGGGGTTTTTGGGATGGTCTCCCTATTTTTATACACACCCATTGCACCCATTGCCGAGATTCAGAATCGCATAAGCGCGCATGCTTGCGCAGGCAAACTTGTTCGGACTCCGGTGAATGGTGACGTGGCCAAGCAAATGGTCTTCTTCTTCTTTTGTATAATATGCTGTATATAGTGTTTGCCTGGACCAGACCTGTTTGGACCCCCAGAATCCCTGTGGACCTATTTCCAAGATGTATGTTCTATGATGTGCTGGACGAGATATTTTCCAAGAGCACTCCGGAAAGCTCACAGCTGTGCAACCCCAAAGAGTCAGGTACGTCAGGTCCTTCCAGCTCCGCTGCGGCTGCGGCTGCGGCTGCGGTGGTGAAAGTCAAGGCATCCGGGTCTCGATGCGGGCAGATGAATCCGGGACTGCCGGGACTCGTGTGGGGTTGCCGCGTTGCCAGTGAATGTCAGTGGGTGTGACTGGGGAAGTTCTCAATTCTTTGGGTTCATTCAAGATCCACTTGTGAGCTGCCCCAACTCCGAGGTGAAGCGAAAGAAGGCAAAGCCACAAAAGCCTGAGGCCATTGCTGCTGTTCTTAAACATCGCATCAATCTGCTCTTGTTCCATGGGGTTTGCTCTCCAGATGGAGATTTAGATTCTTATGCCCATCAAGAGTTGAAATCGCACCAGTTGCGCCGGCAAGAGAGATGGCCAAGGGCAACCTTACACGTTGGTCTTCGCCACAAGATCCTGCAAGATGTTTAATAAGAAGCGATGCAAAAACTATCCCCTACATCCTACTACTTCCTACTGCCCCCCCACGTCCTGCAAGTCCTGTCTTATGGCTGGGATCTTGGTGATGCCATTCCAACCACCGCCAGACCATCCATGGGACTGGCATAGTTACCTACATTGGGGTCTTAAATGGGGTATATAAATGTATGTACAGTAACAATTCCAGTCTGAGACTTCACTCTGCTCTGAGACTTCCCTCGCCCCTCTGGAAGACCGAAGACCTTGGAAGACCAAAGTGCCAACCGTCGAGGGCGCTGCGGAAGTTCAAAGGCAGACGAACTAGAGTGGGCATGGTCGAAGAACTAGAGCTCCAGGGCCAGGGAAGCCCTGCTGGGACAGAAGCTTTACCCATTTATAAACCTCTGAAAGAAAAGGTGGGGGTTGTTTCATCCAATCCCACCTATAGTGTGAAGGCCACACTCTAAGCTCCAATCCCATGGGCACGGTTCCGCAGGATCGTTGGTGGCCATCATCCATTCGTTTGAACGAGGCTTCATGGCAACCATCCCGCGTTGCACTCGCACATTCGCCCGGGTAAGTCATGTCATCATTACCTAACATGACATATCAATGATGACATGTCATGGTAAGTCATGATTGTCATATCATGATAGTTATAGTTGATTATGACTCATGACTGCCAACAGAGGTTGAAGAACCCAGCCTAGAGATTATCCCAGTTGGGTACCCCAGGTAGCTCGGGTCCTTTGCTGCCTGTCGACTTGACTTCTTCGGTACGTAAGTCGTCGGTGCTCGAGTCACGTTGGACCGGCGACCGGAGAGAACACGGCCGGTCTGACATCTTGGACTGAACAGGCCCAATGTAGGAGGAGAGAGAGAGAGAGAGAGATATATATATATATATACATAGAGAGAGAGAGAGAATCAGATAGAGAATGATGGAGAGATCACGGCATGATGGAGAGATGAAGCGTTTGAAGCTACATTTGCATTTTAGGAAGTAGGAGCAGGTCAGATACCTGCTGAGTGCGTTGCGGGCTTGTCCGGTGAAGCGTGTTACCATATGGAACACAATGTGAATTGTGAGCTGCTGTTTCAAAAGAGTCTAGAACCCTCGTTATTCTTGTTTACGCTATAGTTATAAAAAACTTTCATTGGAAAGTTTTTTATTTTCTAAATTTAAAAAAAAAGTCAAAAAAAGTCAATCCCAAAAGTCAAAGTCAAAAAAAAGTCAAATCAGCAAATTTCAGATGACTATTTGCCCAGATCCGACCTTTTTCGACATGTTTTCGACTTTTTTCGACATTTTTTTCGACTTTTTTTTTGACTTTTTCGAGCTGTGGTCTACGGTTGACTTTTCTTGACTCCAGTAATCCGCCAAGGCGAGGAGCCACAGTTTTGACTTTTTTTGACTGTTTTTTGACTTTTTCGAGCTGTGGTCTATGGTTGACTTTTTTTTGACTTTTTTGACTTTTCAATTTCATATTTTTTGACTTTGACTTTTTCAGTTGACTTTTTTTGACTTTTTGTTTAAATCACGGATTCTGGCCTTACCATATGAAAGTCTTTTATAACGCTATATTTATTTTTCTCAAATGATTCACAACGTCCAGAAGTTGATTGTAGCCACAATATTGCGATCCATTATTGTGTATGTGTCAGAGAGTTTGCCAAAGAATCCACATCTGATTTTGCCCGGCCTTGCAACTTGCCAGGGAAGCCTGCGCCTTCGCCCTTTTCGTCACTGCCGCCACCTGTGGAGCCGTTGGCACCGAGCTTCGCACCTTCCCTGGAGGGCGAAGCATTGGCCTCCGCACGCACGTTGGTGGCGGAATTGGCGATTCGAGGCCAAGAAGCCTGCGAGGCAAGCTGGAAAGAGTTGAGAAAAACCGTGCGCCGTTTGTGCGCCACAATAAAGGTTTTAAGTTTAAAGGAAGGTTTTTGATTTGCCATGGGTTTCTGGTGTGTTTACAACAACGACTGTGTAAGCCCTTTTAAACGGAACCCATCGGAACCCTCCGGCGTGTGACCGCCAACCCCACGCGGTCACCGTACCCTAGGTGCGGCTGCGCTCCGTCGCGAACCCGACGAGCGCGACGCCGCGGCCCGAGCTGGGGCCCGCGCTGGCGCATTGCGCCGAGCGAGGGCTGGAGGCGAGGCGGATGGACGGCGGTAGACGGGAGACCATGTACCAAACGATCCAAGTAGAGGGAAGTCGTTTTGTTAAAGATCGGATGAACGATGACCATTTGTCTACCACGACATGTCAGTGTTTGGATGTTTTTTTGGTGCTTGCACGCACAGGCGTGTGTTCAGCTTTTGCTGCAGAAGTTGGGAGCTTGGAGATCAGTCACGTTGACTCGATGACGGTCATGTAGACAGCATGTCATGTAGACCTACCTATAAGATCTATAAGGAGATCCAAAAGGTTCACCCTCAGCAACTGACTCATAACAAGGCCAGGCTTTTGGCTGCTGTTTCTTTTGTTTTCCTAAGGGAATGTACCATGACTGTAGCTGTAAGATGCTGTAAGTATGGTTACATTGCATAGTGGGATTTGCAGTCGAATTTCAGGCCATCTTCCAAATATACTTAAAACATCTTGAAACTGTATTTAAATCGACTAGATAAAACCTTGGACAATAATCAAAGGAGATAGAGTAATAGACATGAATGATGCAATCTCCAAATTCACAGGGGTGAATGGACAACGCTTCTCAATTCAAATAACATGATCCAACAAGCGTTGAATTCCACTTCAATCACCTAGTCATCAGACAAATAGAACACAAAACACGCAATCTCCAAGGATGTGTCGTTCCAAACATCACATCCTTCAAACACTGCCTAGTCACCGGTCATCTCTTGGAAGAACCGGTTCATCCCTTTGAGGGACGGTGACCCTTGAGGCGAGCCATGGCGGATTCCTGTGGACTGCGTAACCTGGCGAACCAGGCGACACGTCCGAGGGAGAACGGAGAGAAGCTGAAGGATATTGAAGGATCATATATTAATATAGAATATATAACTGGACCCGACTGACAACAGGTGTGACAACTGGTGCCTGTGGTCGGGTCTTCAAACAGCCTGTTGGCGGGTGCTGGTATATATGAGTCGTTTTCAAAATTATCGTTATTTACTTTATACAAGGGCATTTCATCCAAGAGTGTGATTTGGGGTTTTCCTGGGAAAACGATACGGGACGTCCAAATTAACGATACCTCTATTGTTACATGCATTAGTTCCTTGAGCTTTTTGAGTTCATGTTGGTATGTCGTCCTGCTACAGCAACTCTTCTGAGCATTTGTGCTCAAGGGTCTGAAGGGCATCACTTCATGAACTGGCTTGTTCTTGCTTGCAAGTGTCACAGGCAATTAGGGATTGCGATTGCTTGTGTTTGAAGGGCTGTGTCCTGGCTATTATATAATATTATATATCAATCATTGCTAGTATATAGTATATAATATATATATAAATCATTAGTTATATCATTATGTATAGGTATAAAAAAACATCATGCAAACATAGATCAGATCAGATCAGATAACATAAATCACAGATTGGACTTGTCAAAGTGTGATCGTAAGTTGGAATTACTATAGATGTGTTTGTTGTTTTTTGTTGTTTTTAATCTTTTCTTGGAAGGCATACACTTTAAGGAAAAGTAATAGATCTCAGTGTTGTACGAGCGGAATGGAGTCGAAGAACTGTGAGGCAGTGCTGGGCAAGCGCACGGCTTTGCAGCTGGCAGCAGAGAACGGTCATACACCAGTGCCGCAGGCCCAGAACATGCATTACTAGATAGAGGCGGCCGAAAGGAAGCAAGCACTCACAATCATTGGTGGGTTCAGTGCTCGAAGGTGGCGGTCCAAGACAATCGCATTGAGTGCTTGATTCAGTTTAGCCATGTCAGCTTTATATCATAAACATAGCTCTGGAATGCTCTGGATAGCTTTAGCATGCTCTGGAATGCGTCAGACCGTCAGAATGCTCTCAAGTGTTCCTCGTGATGCCGTGATGTTGCATACAGCATGCGTCATACAGCAATGCTCACTCTAATGGATTTCAAGGATTTTCAAGGTCTAGGGTACTCAGCCGTTGCAAGTGGTAGGGGTGGGTCTGTTTGTTCCAAGGTGTCGCCTCTTGCTGCAGGCCGGCAGCAATGGCAAGGACCTTGGCATGTTTTTCCAAGGCGAAGGAAATTGAACAGTGTAAGTTGTGTAAGTGTCATCCTTATTGTCAAAAGGATGATGAACATCAATGAACATCATTCTATTTGTCAACTCACGGGGGCAAATCCCTTGTGACTGGGTTCCCCAGTTCGCTGGGCCGACCCGGACCGGTCCGCGGAACCGGCCCGGGCGCACCGGGCCCGGTCGCCCCGTCTGAGGCTTTGGGCTTGCAGGTGCCATTCAAAAGCTGAAAAGCTATGGGCAGCTCTTCGACCGTGGGGGCGCCTCAGCATGGCCTCAGCATGGCCGTACCGGCCGCGAAATTGGACCAGAGTTCGGCGGTTTTTCTGGGAGGCCGTGGACGGCCAAAGACGGCGGCCGTGGACTTCTGTCGAAGATTTGCACCAGGTCCTGAAGATTTGCCTCAACTACAGGTTTTAGAGTAGGTTTTAGTCAGAAACTGCACGGGTCATGACAGGTCAAGAAAAAACACACATGGTCCACACATGTCCACACGTCTTCTTTTTCCAGCCAAGAAAAAGGTGGCTTCACAACCAGCCGTCGCCACGAACCACTCCGCGGACTCTCCCGCTTCCGAGGCGAAGTGCGAGAACTCGAAGGGATGAACGTGCAGAGCTCGCAGCGCGCGCGAAGCGGAAAAGACCCATGGACTCGTGGGACTCGACATTCCAAACCATCCATGGAACTGGAATAGACCTGGGCATTGACCTGGGCATATGAAAGTGCCTGTTTTTTTGGTTCAATTCTGCGGCATGAGCATCTTTTGGAGTCACGGGCCGGCCTTATGAGTCGTTCGTCTGCCCAGATTGACCCCTCAAACTACCCCAATTGGTTGGTAAATATGCCCATGTTCATGGATGGTCTGGGGGGCGGGCTGTGGTTGAGCAAACATGAACAAACAGACCCACCAGGGAGGACCACGTCTGGTCCTTCTCGGAAGTCAGTTCTTTTGCTCTGGGGATGTTCCATGATGTTCCATCATGGTCCTTTCGCGGCTTGAGGCCATGTCCAGCTGCATCTTGGGTTACTGGAATCCATTAGTTTCCTGAGGAAAAAACGGTTTCCGGTCACACACACCTTGCACACATATCCGTGGCGCACCTCACATCACCTCACTGTCCTTCCCCTACGCGGGGTACACGAGGAGAGAATGTACAAAGAAAAGGTATGTAACAAGAACGTGCAACCCACACACAACACATGTGTGAATTATGCGAACGAAGTGTGCGCGACACTGTAGAATTCCTAATTCAAGGGTCGAGCTGTATCAAGATTATCAAGACGAGGTCTGTTTTATTGCGTAGGCATTTACGAACTCGCTGGTAAGGGTCTCTTAGCTTGATTGGCTTCGTGCAGACTGGCTTCGTGAAATTCCGCTTTTGGGTTTGGAGTTAACTCATGTCCTGAGCTCGCTCTCGTCTTCAACGTACGACAGAACGAAGTTCGGAAGCTCCGAGAAGCTCCTCGTTCAACGAGATGAGAGGGTAATGTAGGATGCTCCTCTAAAGGATCCGATCCCGAAGTCCATCGTAGTTGGATTGAATGGCCGTTGGATACAGCTGTCCCAGGGAGCGTCCGGGATTTCCAATTGCATTATTTATATTTTTAGTGGCCGGTGATTCGCCGGTGATCCTTTTTTTTTGTTCTTTTTGGTTCATAGTACAACCACTTGCACAGGTCCATTTGGCATTTGGAGAATATGACTTGGTAGAAAGCGAAGAGAGAATCAACTCCAAGACTTGCTGCGTGTACGGTACGGTTGTGCAGTGTAGCTCAAAGAGAGACCTCCCAGTTTGACCCCAATTGATCAAATCCTTAGGAGCCAGGGGTATCCCAATTTCAATATGCAGCTGTCAGCTGTATCGCAGCTGGATGGACGCAGCTCCCACGTCACACGCAGCAACTCCACCGTAGCTTGGGCTTTGCATGGGTCACAGCAAGGGCTGAATATGCTCACTTCCAGAATATGTTTGTGCGGGTTCAACAAATAGTGCACAATCCTTCCACTAGCTCACTAGCGCTGTCAAGCGGGTGCTTTACAATCACCAACTTCAAACCAAACTGGCCGCATTTACGGCAGCAAATCTTCCCAGAAACATCCAGCGCGGGAGCATTGTTTTCAGCAGCACTGCATGGGCACAATGCCAGATGGTGATGAGTGCTTTTTGCCGCCGTCGTTAGAAGCTTCCATTGCGAGGTCACAAACCGCCTCAGCACCGGTGCCAAAGGTAGCTGCTGGGTATGCGCAAAGCGGAAACCAGCAGGTTCTACCCCCGACTTCGGGATCTTCAGGCGCCGCTCAATACCCACATGTTCTACCCGATGGTGCACATGAACATCATGCCCATGGTCCACATGGCTGTTGTCATGGCGACCATGGTGAGGACGAGGAGGATGCACACTACAAAGAAGTATGCTGCTCGGTTTTGGGAGCCTTTTTCTGTTTGGAAGGTCGTTTCACGATGTTCCACCGCCAAGTATTGTCCCATGAACCTTCTGCATGCAGCTGAGGCTATTCACTACTGTCATATGCCGAGGACGCGGCATCTGAGCTGATGACGATCGCAGAAACCTTTCACATTCCCGATCCCAGGGATCAGGCCATGATGAAGCTGAAGGTGGACGACTTGATGAACGAGATGAAGCAATGCATCGTGGTCAACGATCATTTTTTGAAAATGCTGGTCCTCTCCGATTTGGACGCTCAAGACTATTGGCAGATGCCACCTGATCACCAAGTGCAGGAGAGGAATAGCATGAAGGCTCGCACAGTCTTGAGACAGTTTGTGAGAGACTGGGGAGACGAAGGTGCTCAGGAGCGAGACGTCCAATATGGTTGCTTGCTGGATGCGCTTGAACGTTACGTGCCAAAGAATGCACGGCCGTCAGGTGGAAAGCCACGTGTCTTGGCGCCTGGAAGTGGTCTTTCACGCTTGCCCTTCGAATGTGCTCGTCGTGGCTATGCAGCGCAAGGGAATGAGTTTTCCTATCACATGCTGCAGGGCTGCAAATGGGTCCTGAACGAGACCGACCGCGAGAAGAGCCATGTGATCTATCCTTTCGTCTTGAATCTGGAGAACCGGCGAAATGCACTGGATCATGTGCGTCCGGTGGCCATTCCTGATGTCTGCCCATCCAGAATCCTTTGCCCACCCGGTGTAGACCCGAATCCAGAGGACCTGGGGGCATAAATGCGGAGACGTGGAGACAGAGCACTTTATATAAAACTATAATATTATACATCAGATATACCTATTATGATCTTGTTTTTACGCATAATGCAGGATTATATATTAAGATTCCATGATTGAGCGTTTTGAAAGTACTTACCAGATTGAAGGCCCATGGACCGAAGGGTTGTTCGTCCATGACTCGCGTCGGACAGAACCATTGGACCGAGCGACCTTGCTGCCATCCGTCCATCCGTATGTGTTGTTCTTCCAAGTGATCCATGCTCCAACTCAAGAGGCACAGATAGAACAGTGGCGTAATCATGATGGGTTCACTCATTGTGGCTACAAATGTAACTGTGAATAACGGGGAATCCAAGCATCATCGAGGTGGTGAGATTGCTTCAGCATGTTTAGCAGGAAGCATATTCTCGACTCCAAGCATGACCAGGCTGTTGTCGTTCCCTGTCTTCTCCCCGACAAGACGGTGTTCTTTCTTTTGGGATGCTGGATAGCAGGCTGCTTCGTCTCCTTTTCACCTGCTGAGCATCACTCAGTTCATCTTGCTTCATCTCCTCCCATTTGATTTGAGTGAAAAGCGACATCAGGTCATTGCAACTTGTTTGGACTTCATGTTCACCGCTGTTTCACCTGAAGTCATTTGGTATCATTCTGGTTGAACTCAACCTGGTACATCCTCACCTACTTGTCATCACCTTTGATCGCCTCAACCGAGCTGACTTGGCGTCACATCCCATGATCAAAGCTTATCTCAGGCAGCTCACCTTAGAGAAATAGAGGTTGGTACTTCAACAGGGGACCCTCCGACCCCCTAGATCATTTTAGTTGATTTACTTATTTATACTTATGTTGATTTGTCCTTTTTTTCGATGAAACATACATACCCGTTTTTCCTACCTTTCTGTTTGTACCTTGCATCGCTTCTCTTTTAACACCATCCGGGACTGCACGTCTGAATTCCAAGCTGCGAACTCCAGGACTTTTCCATGTGTGCCGGCGAATTTATCAATGTCTATGAGGACCAGATCGCAGAGTGGGATGTGTCTTGGAGACAGACACGTCCGTGGAACCAGTGTGGAACCAGTGTGTGAAAGACGGAGGGTTGTATACAAGAAGTATATCGATCCATACAATTCCATACAGACGGTGTCATATCGGACCATCACAGTGAGACTGTGTCATATCGGACCGTGCCAAGCACTCTGATCTATGCTGTGCGCGAGAAACCCCAAATGCAGATCTTGGAACACCAGTCACAGGTCAGTGAAACCCCGGATATGCCGAGCTGCTCTAGTTCTTTTTTGCAGTGTACAACAAGCTTCAAGAATCCTCAAGATACGTTTTGCCAGAGTTTGTCCATCCAAAGTTGCCTTGTTGCCAGGCCGATAATGAACTTTCTGGGAAGCATGAAGCCTTGGAAGCTGCACAACTGCTGACTTCACATTCATCGCCCAAGGCGGTCTTGACGTGCTTTTTCCTCGACACCGCCAAGAACGTGTTTCTGTACATTCGAACCATCGCAGACATCATTAGGTGGGGCAATCGTGGGTTCCTTTTTTCGGTGCGGTCTGGAGCCTGCACAAGCGAATCACGCAGAGCCGAAGTCTGAAACCATTCCTCGGATTTGTTGAAGCTCTATCAAGAGCTGGCTGGAGAGTTCTAGCTAGGAGGCTCCAAGACATGTTGCAGAACAGGCTGGACAAATCTTGTGGTTTGACTAGAGAGGACATGGGTGAACAGCAAATCGGATCGTGCAAGCATGGAAGCATCTGGAGCAGATATGTTTTTAATCCGGATAGTTTGTGCAATCCTTGTTGGACGGCCAAACATCTAGAATCATCTAGAATCTATATACTCACATCACACAATACCACTAACCTGCAACATAGGGGATCCCAGCATGTATAACCCCCCTGCAAGAGCCAAGCCACAACAAGTTGTTGCTGCTTTTGCTTGGTATTTGGTCTAATGCTGTTTGGAGACATGATGCACAGCATGAACCAGATGTGAAACAGTGATCAGTGCCTGATAATACATGTTACGTCCTTTTACAATCCATAATTTATGGCATAAGTTATGCCTTCCCATGGATGCGGAAAGCCCCCTGAATTGTCTTCCATGGAGTGTAGTGCCTTCCTCCGTGCATCGTGCCAAATCACCACAGCTGAGCCTGCCCGCGTTCCTTCGCAGGCCAGGTGGTCTTTGGGCAAATTTTGGCCCGTGCCTGGGCTAGTTGATTCCCCTTCATACACTCCCTTGGATGGACGTGGATGGCATGGCAACCTTGGATGAAAATTTTCCTCTACAAATATTTCAGGGAGTGTAAGTTTGTGGAACCAGAGTATCTGTTGACAAGATACTTGACTTCTGTTTCATGACCTGCCTGTTTTTGTCAAGCCGTTTTCGATGGTTTTTGTTTTGGAAGAGGACCGGCACACTATGTCGGAGATTGGATAGTCAAGTAGAAAAGACAACATTTGATGTGAGCAGACAGAACGTGTTGTCGAAAGCGAGCACGGCCATGGGACAGGGCTTTACTTGGTATAACTTCTAATTACATACACAATCAATCTTTCGCCATCTCACCCTGTAGATATCAGGTACGTCTATTGTCTATCAGACATGTTTGTTTGTCAGATGGTTCAATATGTTCTCCAACAACAGCATCATGTTCTCACATCTTCATAGATCTCATGTTCACGCAGAAGCCTTGGTGATGTTCTTGTTGCTCAGTGGTGATATCATGATTATATGTTGGATAGTCTTTTGGAGACTTCGGGGGGTCGATCGATGTCATCCAGGACCTGTTTTCCTGTTTTCCGCTTCTGCGACCTCAGGCTGTTGTACCACTACGCGGAGCAACCCGACCAGGCCGCCTGACCCAGCGGGGCTCAAGCGGGAACTCCCCCACCGAGCTAACATAGAACCTGAGAATTGACCTGTGGAAGACCATTTTCCTCTACAAGCCAGTGGTTTTGGGGTTCCATGTGGTTTTTCTGCAGGGGAGGGAGGAGCTATTTGCTACTAGTCGGGCCTGCCAGGAGCGCCCCGTTCGTAGCTTCGAACGCGAACGCGGACGCGATGTCGCCGATGCCCTTGGTTACTAGCTATTTGCAATCTAGTGGCTACTACTAGTCATGCCCTTGTTACTAGTGGCGATGCTCTTTGTTACTAGTAGCTTCTATAGCTACTAGTAGAAATGTCCTTGTTACTAAGATAAAACAAAGTAAAAAGGCTTTCTAGACATGGCACTACTGTCCGTACCGGTTTCTTCATCTTTGCTTCAAGCACCTCATCAAACTTTGCCTGTTCTGGTGTAGAGCCAACAGCTTCTAAGACAATGCTCCTATGTTACGTTTTGTGGATCAAACGATGGATACCACCCTCTGTTCGAACAGGATGTTCTGTCTTCCAAGGGACCATGCCATCCCTGTGTTCACTCCAAGCCACCCTTTGCGGCAGCCTCACTGCCGAACACTGTGTAGGTGTCAGAACTACATCTCCAAAACATTCCAACACAATCCAACACATAAAACAATGGGTCATGACCCGTTTTCCAAGGTATTTGTTGGACTCATCTTGAAATAATGATTGCTCCCGACCGCTGCCGCTTGATGCCATCAACTTGCGCACGGCAGATCTCGATCGAGTTGAGCTGGGAGGAGGTGAAGCCAGAAATCCAAAAATATTTCGATTTCAAAGAAGAGGACGGCCGAGCTGACTGGATGGGGGGCAAGTTTTCTTGCACAGCAACTGGTGTTTTTGGGGGTCTTTGCTGTGTGAATCACCAAGCAGGAAGCTAAACGTGAAGAGGGTGGGAGGAAGCGCAAGTCTCGTCTCCGCACGTGACAACAGAGGCAGTTTCCGGTACGTCCGAGAGGCGGGGTACAACAGAGGCCCTCATCGGGTAGATGTGAAGAGAAGCAACGATTCGCCTCCAGGATTTTCGAGAAGCTTTGTACACCACGAACCCGAAGGGCATGTACCGAACGCGTGCCTTGGCACTGGATGCGGAGTAATGACGAGTAGGCAAAGTCTAAGAGGATGTTCTTGAAGATATTTCAAAGATCTACTGTTGACTACAGATATTTTAGGGCGGTTCATGTGGTTTGCTGTCGTGTCGCAGAAACTAATCCAGAACGCATTTTTACATCAATGCAGATGCACATCAAAAGAAGCCCTGTTCACCCCACCATGTTAATCTGTTGTCTTCGTTTGATCCGCCGAGGTTACCTGTGTATCTACTTTGCAGCGATCAGGAACGATGTTGAAACTGAGGGAGAGTCCTTCCCTGTATACGACTGAACGCTGTATACGACTGAACGCCGTGAGCGAATCTCACAGTGACAGAGAGTCTTCATGTCGAGATTCTGCGCATTCGCCTAGCAATGTCAAAATGAAGCTGAAGCGATGTGATCGATGATGATCCGATGGGTTCGTTGAAAGACCATCGCAGGATGGTGATTCAATACCAGTCAAATGTGGAACCGAGCTTCCTTTTTCTGACATCTGCTGGTAGGTTTGAGAGGGTTTCGTTCAGATGCCTTTAACAAATTTAAACACGATCATGAATCATCATGAATCTAGATTTCTCCAAAGCATAGTTTGCGTCTTGAGCCATCGCTTGGGTGAAGGAGATAGCGTTTGCCATGGTTTGGCCGTCCACTTCCACGCCGGGTGATTCGTTTCACGAGGTGACCGAAACCGTCCCAACCAGAAGCAAATTCTCTCCCCAGACAGCCACTTCCTATCCCAGACCATCCATGTATGACCTATTTACCTACATTGGGATGGTTGCAGGGGTCAATGTAGGCATATATTCCGTACATGGATGGTTTGGGTATGTCAAGGATCTCAATTGCAGGACCCTTCCCAAAAAGGCCCAAAGCATCCGCCGCGATCGGGTCTACCTGCTTGCGTTCGACCCTGCAAACAGGTCCTCTTGCGGCACCCGAACCAACCAGCACGGGAGCCCACCCGTGGTGAGAAACGGCTCCGTGGAGTTGGGGAAGGAGAGGTGAGCGGACGGAGCCGGGTGACCCGTTTGACTAAAAGCATCTAAAAGCCATGACATTGCTAGGACACTGGCTTGAAGATTGTGGGTCCTAGTGAGTGCCCAGAATGAAAGTCATTAGGTCTATATATAATAGGTGTGGGTGGTTGCTGAAAACATGGAGTGGAGCGACCAAAGGGGTATAGAGCTTCCACGCATTTCCAGTGGTGATAAATACGTTGCTGGTTCAGTGTGTTAGAAGTTGCGCTGCACTTCAGGACATCATCTGGCTCCAGAGTTTCTTATTTGGGAAGAAGTTCTTGATGTTCCTTTGAGGAAGCAGAGTGGAGGGTACCCTCAGACTCACTAACATGGAAGTGGAAAATTGCCTGTTGGATGACCATTCTCCGCTACAAACAGGGTGGTTTTCCACTTCCATGTGACGTCGCTCGCACAGCTTCCACTACACGCAGGTGATGCGGACGGTGAAGTATCTCCACCGCCTGCGAGAGGGACCGCGGGTACTTGATGTCGCTTGATGTCGCGTTCTTAAAAACGTCCAATCATTGGTGTTCGCATGACCTTCTTGGACATGTTGCACTCGAAGTTCATCCGATATGTGTTCACTCTTCCGCTGCACCCGTCGCCTTTTCACCAGCCCGGGTTCCACCCGGCAGCCCTACGCGGACCGGGCGTTCCGATCCGGTCCGCGTGTCCGTCGGACCGGTCTTCCAGGACCTTCATGGATTTGAGCGTGGAGGACGGGGCCGATCGGCCCGGTGTGGTTCGCTTCGGTCTTCGGACGACCGGGAGCACAGTGGGGAGACCTGAGAAGCGGCGTTCTCTTCTAGTCATTGGGAGGGAGGGCGAGGGGAAGAGTCAGTCATACCTATGCGGATTGGAAGAGCCCCCCCCGGAGCAACATGGCGTGGTCAGGGTTCTGGACACAGGTTTCCCAGCTCACTTGCAGAGAATGTGTCGCCCACGTTGGCTGAACTGAGACGTCTTTTTTTGCGTTGGGATCTTGCTTCATGTTTTCATCTTGAAATTTATTGTTTCCAGCAGTGCAGTGTCTCACACAGGCTTCTCCCAAGTTTTTTTCTGTTTCTAGCTAAAGGCTTCCCCCAGCCAAGAATGTCCACACTTGGAAGGTGGGGGTAGGTCAAAGATGCAGACGTTTCTGCCGCATCAATTTGAGAGAGAGAGAGAGTATACTATAGATGAGTACACATGAGTACATTATATATATATATACGATATAGATAAAACATTTGGAGTTTCTGCCGCAAGTTTTGAAGGAGTCTGTTGCCGAACGCCCACTACACATGCAGTCAACAGGTGTGCTCATCACGGCGCGAATCACTAAGCAATGGTTGGTGCGAACCACTTCACAAACGCGATAAACGGCAACTAGCTCAACTGACGGAGTGTTCTGCCAATGGAAAGAAATGGAGTGTTTGGCGTCAAGTGCTGAGCTTGTGTATCTTGTCTGAGCACAGTTTGTGAAGTGTGGCTCCTCAGAGAAAAATCATGACCATCATACACCCGGAAAGATGAGCATGGAACCTGATGCCATGGACCTGCAAGGAAGGTTCAGCTTCCTCCGGTTCGGTGGTTTTCAGGTTCCATGTGGGTCGATCTCTGCCACGCCAGGTGCGCCAGGGGCCCCAATGCCAGAGGCTGCGACTCTGGTAGAGGAAGCAGGTCCCGTGGTCTTGCAGGCGGGGGAAGCTTAGCGAAATGACATGGAAGCGACCATGAAAGCCTCACAGTATCTTTAGTATCTTCAGTCGCCTCAAAACTATGAGTGTAGGGATCAATAACATAGTAATTAGCATCAAAAAGCAAACACTGAGGATCAGTATGTAGGGCGGAGTAGGGAGTCCATATGGGAGGTCAAGCAACGTTTCAGGAGCGTCGAGCTCCACCCATTTCAGACATTTTAATGACTTTAGTGTAGACCCAGACAAAACCTTGGCACAGGCAGCTGACTTCGGCTTCGCGGAAGATGAGGTTCCAAACTCGGTTTCAAACATGGAGATGAGTTGAGTGGAGTCATCAACATATGCTGCCATTTTCAGAGTAGAACTTGAAGAACGGAAAGCATAGAGCACAAGATACTGTGTTGTGTTTTTAAGATGGAGAAAGAACAATGCAGAAGGAGTGCTCTTCTTTAACAATTGTACGTAGCATCTGGACAATATATATATATATGCGTTGCACTGGCAGTGATGGATAAAGCAGTCACAGGGTGGTCTTGGGATTTGGTAAACCTGCACCGATGGGTGGCCGACCCGTCTACTAATGCCCTTCGATGTACCAACCACTTCAGGAAGCACGCTGCCACGCTACATTTGTAGCTGGCGCAAGCACTTGGTGTGTTGCTTTTCTCCGTTTGAGTTGCTTACACCCGTGGACCTGTTTTGCAGGTGAACTCTATAGTATATATGTAGCCATAACATAACCCTGCCGCGCCAGGATGGAAGCATGTCATCTGCAAGCGATGATGAGCCGAAAGGCCGCCCCGAACAAGACAATGTGGAGGTGTCCCATATTAAGCAACAGTCATTGAAATGATATCAAACAATATCAGGCGCAAATTCTATGCAGGTGTGTCAGAACAAGTGGGCCGTGATGTAGGTGTCAAGAGTTGCTCCCAAGCTGGGGAGAATGCTTGAGATCTTAATTCGATCTCGATGGTTCCTTGATTGAGTTGTATATAAAGTGTTTGGTCAAGTACAAAAAATAGTGCAATAGGTGCAGATAGGTGCAGCCACCCACATCCATGTCCAACATCTATTTCCATTATTTGTCCATGTGCCTGGGGCCGCTGCGCCTGGGCAAATCCAAGCCTTTTTTTTGGTTCGGTTTGCTGCAGGTTCCTTTG